AAGTCATAGTGTTTGTGTTTTTGTTTGTTTAACCTAATTTTTATTTTTCATTTACAAGTTTGTGTGAGAAAATGTGGCTTGATTATTTTGTGCTCGTTAGGATTTTTGAGATTTTTCTTTGTGGCTTGTTATAAGGTAGAATTTTTTTAAAAATATTTTATTTATTTATTCATGAGAGACACACAGAGAGAGGCAGAGACGTAGGCAGAGGGAGAAGCAGCCTCCATGACACAGGGAGAGGGAGAAGCAGGCTCCATGCAGGAAGCCCAATGCGGGACTTGATCCCAGGGATCACACCCTGAGCCAAAGGCAGATGCTCAACTGCTGGGCCACCCAGGGGTCCCTGTTTTTTTTTTTTTTTAATTTAAATGTAGACTCCAGGCCTGGCATGGAGCCTAACGTGGAGCTTGAACTCCTGGCCCTGAGATCAAGACCAGAGCTGAGATCAAAAGTCAGGTGCTTAACTGATTTGAGCCACCTAGGCACCCCAAAAGGTAATGTTTTTGTTTAAATAAATCTCCATTGTGGCATTTACTGTGTTTTGATTTTCTCTGTACCTCTGTCTCTTCTTTAAAATTTTTGTAAAATCACTGAGGTCAGGATTTCATCTATTAATTAATCTATTCATCTCTGTATTCATCAGAAGGTAATTGCCTGGCAGAAATGTTCAATATGTTAGTGGACTGAATAAATTAATGTTGATCCTTGTGGATTTGAATAATATTATACATGTAAAAAGGCCAGAAGAAGACTGTGCCAGTTCCTTTGCTTTGATCCATCCTCTGTGCTCAGAGCAGTGATATCCAGATAGTTGGCCTATTTTCAGGAAAACTTATAGTTGAATAAGATTCAATTGGAGCTGCATCCTAGGAGGAAAATGCACATTTTAAAGATCATTGAAACAGTATGGAACTTTACAAATATAGTTGCATTTAGAAATGACTCTGAAAGCATGTCAAAGTTTGTTATTTAAAAAAAAGTTTGTTATTTTTTTGAAAATGTGGGTTTTTTAAGCCCCTAAAACATTTGCACTGGCAAATAGAGAAAGGAGTCAGAGTTGGAAAGGGTTTTTTTTTTTTCTTTTTAAGATTTTATTTTTAAGTAGTCTTCACACTCAACAAGAGGCTCAAACTCACAACCTCAGATCGAGAGTCGCATGCTCCACTGACTGAGCCAGCCAGGTGCCCCAGAACTAGAGTCTTAATAACCATCCAGTACCTCTCTTTCATTTTAGAGATGTGGCTCAAAGACTTGAAGTGATTTTCCCAAACCTGGGCTATTAGTCGCATGCTCTTGTCAGGACTAGACTATACAACCAGTTTTTAAAGTTCCCTGTGTATAGCTAATAATTTGTCTTTATTCAGTTTCTGGTATTCCTTTTTAATATTTTGAGGGTATATTAAAATCTACCAGTCAGTACCACTGTTTCTGGTCATTTCCACTTAGATTCCTCCCATCCCCACCCTACTTCTTGGATGTCAAATGCCCAGATTTGGATATAATCCTTGGTTTACGGTACAGTCTCATCATTGGTCCTGCTTTAATTATTAATGTATAATAATAAGCATTTATGAAGCCACTATCTCAAACAAAAACTGAGACTCGACAATAACAGACACCTAACTGTATGGTCTCTCTTCCCATTTTGTCTCACTCCCTGTGAGGTAGGTAGGCATCTGAAACTCAGGCTAATCATTACCTTGCTTTCCTTTTAATGTAGTTTTGTTGCATCTCCCCCTTTCTGTGTATTTCTGTTGGCCTCTTTCACCCCTCCTCTCTGGCAACTACCACTTTGTTCTCTATATTTATGAATCTATTTCTATTTGTTCATTCATTTTGTTTTTTAGATTCCACATATAAGGGAAATCATGTGGCATTTGTCATTCTCGGTCTGACTTACTTCACTTAGTATAATACCTCTAGATGCATCCAGGTTTTTGCAAATGGCAAGATTTCATTCTTTTTCTATGGCTGAGTAACAGTCCACTGTGGGTGTGTATATATATATATATATATACAGCACATCTTCTTATTCATCTATCGGTGGACACTTAGGTTGCTTCAATATCTTGGCTACTGTAAATAATGCTGCAATGAACATAGATTGGGGTGCAGATATCTTTTGAATTAATATTTTCATTGTCTTTGGGTAAATTCCCAGAAGTGGAATTATTGAATCATTGTGTCCAATTATTTTAATTAAAAAGGTGTTGTGTTGTATGTAATCTTTTGGAGTTTATTCTTTTCACATCTTGTTTCACTTTTGGTGGTCTCTTTGTCTGAGGAATTTTTTTCAAGGACTCCATGATTTTCTTTTTATTCATCTTCATTCATTGAGGGTATTTATGCTTGCCCAGTATTGTTTTATAGACTGATGTGGGATCCATCTGAAATTTTTTTTGATATTCTTATTGGTTTTTAAAAATTGAGATCTAGTTGAAACTAATGTAACATTAGTTTCAGTTATACAATATAATTTGTTATTTGTACATATATGGAATTTTATAGCAATTCCTGGTCAGGATCAAAGGCAGAACCACAGAAAGTTACAGACTGCTGTTTCGGAGACCTCACAGGCTGTGTGGAATGGTCAGGGCACCGTCGTGGCTTTCCTAACTAGACCCCCATTTTGTGGGGTTACTGGTGTAATCCCAGTGAAACCTTCTCTCCACCAGCATTGGCTGTGTGGCTCCCCCCAGGAGCAAGCTGGGACTGGGTTGCCATGGTGACTCTCCCCTAGAATAGGAGGCACAGAGGCAATGAGCATTCCTGTGGACCCCTCAGCTAGTTCTTTCATTTCTTACCCAGGTTAAAACACTTTTTGGATCTTCGGGGTCTTTTTTTTTTTTTTTTTTAGATTTTATTTATTTATTCATGAGAGACAGAGAGGCAGAGGGAGAAGCAGGCTCCATGCAGGGAGCCTGACGCGGGACTCAATCCCAGGACCTCAGGATCATGCCCTGAGCCGAAGGCAGGTACTAAACCGCTGAGCCACCCAGGGATCCCTCTTCAGGGTCTTAGAAATATTGTTTACACAGATGGAAACAATAGTTACAGGCCATTTCATAAAAGGAGTGGACGGTTTCTTCATCAACACAAATCTAAACTAATTGTGGCCTGTTTCCTACCTTGTACTAATTCACACACCGATTCTAATTACCATGGTCAGTTCTACAGAATTTGTTCTAGTCTCTACATTCTAGTCTATACCCCACTTTCACACTGACCTTTCAATTTCTCAGCTTCACATGCTTTCCCCTGAACCCCCAAATTCTGTTACTGTCCTCAGCCCTTCCCCTTCCTCCCATTCCCACCAAATCCCAACCAAACACTAGGAATTGCTATTTAGTTAGCACTTAACATCAGCTAGACACTGGGCCAGTTGCTCTTTATGTATCATCTCGTGCTACTATCTTCTGCTATTTTGTCCTACTCAATGAAGCAGTAACATTAGTGTCCCCATTTTATGGATAAGAGAATGAGGCTCCATGAGATGAATATGGTCTAGGTCCTTATCTCTCATGAAGCTAGGATTTTGTTTTTGTTGTTTATTTTTATTTTATTTTAATATAATTTTTTAAAGATTCCATTCATTCATGAGAGAGAAAGAGAGAATGAGAGATAGAGAGAGAGAAGCAGGCTCCATGCAGGAAGCCCGATGTGGGACTCGATCCTGGGACTCCAGGATCATGCCCTGGGCCACCCAGGGATCCCATTTGTTTTTATTTTTATATTATGGTGTGTTGGGCTCCAAGTAAAATAAAACTTAATTGGCCTTAACAATAATAAAATTATTTCATATAAAAAGGTTGGTTAATTCAGTGGCTCATCAAGGACCCAGGCCTTTCTACTCTATCATCCATTCTTGCTGTATTCAGGCTTTGTTCCCAGGTTAGCCTAGCTTTCTACAAGGTTTCATGATGCCCACTAAAGTTCTATTATCACATCCATAGAAATTCTAGAGGCAGGAAAGGACATCATTCCTTCGTGTCCATCTTTCTAATTTGTCATGCTTTTTTTTTTTAAGAATTTATTTATTTATTTGAATTTATTTATTCATGAGACACACACACACACACACACACACACACAGGCAGAGACACAGGCAGAGGGAGAAGCAGGCTTCATGCAGGGAGCCTGATGCAGGACTCGATCCCGGGACTCCAGGATCACGCCCTGGGCCAAAGGCAGGCACTAAACCGCGGAGCCACCCAGGGATCCCTTGTCATGCTTTTTTTTTAAAAAAGATTTATTTATTTATTTGTCGGGGAGAGGGAGAGATAGTCTTAGGCAAACTCTGAGCTGAGCATGGAGCCTGATGCTGGGCTTGATCTCACGACCTTGAGATCATGATCTTTTTTTTTTTTTTTAAGATTTTATTTATTTATTCATGAGAGACACAGAGAGAGCGAGAGAGCGAGGTAGAGACACAGGCAGAGGGAGAAGCATGCTCCACGCAGGGAAGCCGATGTGGGACTCGATCCTGGGTCTCCAGGATTAGGCCCTGGGCTGAAGGCAGCGCCAAACTGCTGAGCCACCCGGGCTGCCCTGAGATCATGATCTGAGCCAAAATCAAGTCACATGCTTGACCAAGCTGGGCCAAAGGCAGGCGCCAAACCGCTGAGCTACCCAGAGATCCCCTCATGCATCTTTTTAAAGAGCATTTTAACTTGCTTACTTTTCTTAGGACCCTGTCTTATCCTGGCAGACCTCCCTTTATTGTCTGGAATGCCATAAGCCCATGCCTCACTAATCACTGGCAAGGGGAACAGGACCACTAGGGTGGGCTCAGACTAATCAATACTCATTCCCAGGGCTGGCTCCAAGCTTCCCTCAAATTCCTGGCTGCTCCATAGAACAGCATTAAGGTTCTGTAGGAAGAAGGGAGATGGGGGTAGGAAATAGGCATGCTGTGTGTAACCAGCAATGTCTGTTACAGAATCCAAAAGTCTAGCTTGTTAACCTTGACACACTGCTGCTTTTCTGTGCTCTCCCTGCAGTTCCCATCTCCATCTAGCATTTATCCCTAAGAGTGAGCCAAGTCTACAACCGTCACTCTAAATAACACATGCCAAGGCCACCCTTGGCAGAACAGTGAGGAACGTGAAATGTATTCCTTGGCGCCCAGTGCTCCTGTGCAATCTGCAGGTCAGTGACACATGCTTGGTCAGCCTGGGCATGTCACACTCAAGTGGGGAGAAGAGCAGAGGCTCTGCCTCCTGGAAAGGAGCTGGCCTTGACTCAGCCTCAGAGTTGAGTTCCAGTCATGCTCCTCCTTCTCTGAGAACTCTTCTTTCTGGTCTGTACTTCTCTGCCCTTAGAAAAACAACTAGAATTGTTTTTTCTTTTTTCTTTTTTAATTAAGTTCTTGTAGCCAGTGTGGGGCTTGAACTCAAGAGTTGCATGCGCTACCAAGTGAGTCAGGCAGGCACCCCCTGAATTGTTTTCGTTTTTTTTTTTTTTTAATTTTTATCTATTTATGATAGTCACAGAGAGAGAGAGGCAGAGACACAGGCAGAGGGAGAAGCAGGCTCCATGCACCGGGAGCCCGACGTGGGATTCCATCCTGGGTCTCCAGGATCGCGCCCTGGGCCAAAGGCAGGCGCTAAACCGCTGCGCCACCCAGGGATCCCCCTGAATTGTTTTCTTAACAAATTCTAATTTGTCCCCTAGTCTTAAAACCCAGTATTACCGTCTTCCTTTCCTTGAACTCTCACAGTAAGAAAATCCATATCCGCTGAATTTACTAACCATTCACAGATCTCCCATATGTGTTAGAAGCTTAGAGAAAATATTAGACAATAGGGAAGAAAACTTTAGTAGCTGAGTGCCAGGTCCTGAGTAAATTCTTTCCCATACTGACTTTATCCTTAACAGCACCCTGGTAGGTTAGGTTATTTTAATCTTACGTTCAAGTTTAGGGAAGTCACATTCAGAAGGTTTTTTTTTGTTTGTTTGTTTTTTTAAGATTTTATTCAGGAGAGAGAGAGAGAGAGGCAGAGACACAGGCAGAGGGAGAAGCAGGCTTCCTGTAAGGAGCCTGATGTGGGACTGGATCCTGGATCTGGGATCACGCCCTGAGCCGAAGGCAGACGCTCAACAGGTGAGTCACGCAGGCATTCCGGACATTCAGCGGAAGTTAAGTTGCCTGCTCAGAGAAGGTAAGGTTGGCTCAAGGCCACAAGCTAGTAGGAGCCCATGACGGAGTGACCTCCTGTGCTCTTTCCCCTCCAACCTCCCCTTTCTCACTTCATGGTCTTGGCTGTTACAAAAACACATTTGTATATGCTAATTTGAGCCTCAGAACAGGAGTGAGATAAATCCTAGTATCTGCACTTTGCAAAAAGTTCAGAGATACTACATGACTTGGCTGAAGTCATGTGGAGCTTTAGCTTTTCTGCCTCGCAGAGCATGGCATTATTTGTTGGATGATAATCCAGATGATGGTGAGTATTCAATAAATAATGCTTGTCAAATTAAATGATTGGAAATAAACTGAATGTCACTGCTTAAAAGTCTCTAGGTTCCTTTTTCTCCCAGTCACCTCCCTCTGGCTCCCCTCAGAGACCCGCTTTTCCCAGGAACTTTGTCACTTTCTTTTTTTTTTTTTTTTTTTTTTAAAGGAAAGCTTTTTTTTTTTTTTTTAATTTTTATTTATTTATGATAGTCACACACAGAGAGAGAGAGAGAGAGAGAGAGAGAGAGAGAGAGGCAGAGACACAGGCAGAGGGAGAAGCAGGCTCCATGCACCGGGAGCCCGACGTGGGATTCGATCCTGGGTCTCCAGGATCGCGCCCTGGGCCAAAGACCGGCGCTAAACCACTGCGCCACCCAGGGATCCCACTTTGTCACTTTCAACCAACACAAAGAGCAGCACCCATGTGTCTTCAGGAGGGGGTTTAAGAAGGAAGGGTTGTCCTCCCATCTCCCACCTTAGGGCTTCCTTTGCTCCCTGGAACAGGAAGGCCACACTCAGTCTTGTCCTTGCCCCCACATGGTCGACTGCAAGTAGTTCTGGAGCTAACAAACCAGTGAGCGCCCCCCACTCCACTTCTGTTCTGCTGGCATTGGCCCTGGCAGTTACTTCACTAGCGCCTCCTCCCCTCTCTCTTCCCTTGGTACCACCTCCTGCCTCTGGCTCCGCCCCACAGCCCTGGACACAGTACACACAGATTACAGCTCCCGCTCCAAGGGTAACAAAGGAACTGCCTGGATTCCCATGGCTGTGGCCAGCACCTCCATACCAGGGCTGAACCCTCAGAATGCTCATTATATCCCGGGGTAAGACTTCTACCCAGAGCACACCCCTGCTTGCTTCTGGGAATAGGGGTATAAGGCCATGAGGGTTGTGCCACCCAGACCTTGGGGGCCAGTACACAAACTGGTGTGGTACACCCTGGGCTGAGATACTTATGGTGTTGGATGGAAAAGGAAGAGCAAGGGGATGGTGGTAGCTGGGCCTGCCATGAAGCTCTGTGTTGTCTTCTCCATGGTAACAGGGTGACAGCAGAGGGGAAGGGTTGAAAACCCAGAGAACTGGGAAATGGCTGCTCCACATATATGCACAGGTGAATCTTGAAAAAAATCAGGCCTTCAGAGGTCTCTGTTCCTATCTCTGGGGGTGATGGAGTGGGGGGAGTCTAGAGGTGAGTGGGTGAGTCCTGTGCCATAGGTACACTGGACACTGCCCCCTACTTCGGTTCAGCATGGGCCAGACCTACGGGCAAATGACCGGTCAGCTACTTCGAGGATTTCCTGGCCTAGCCTGGCCCCCTGCCCATCGCACACTTCTGCCTCCCATCCGGCCACCAGCGTCTCCTGAGGTTCCCAGGGGAAGGCTGCCTGTCAGGCGCCGGCATGAAAGGCTCAGCTCCGGCATGATCCCTGGATACACAGGTATGTACGGACAGTCTGAACAGGTGTTCCCAGCCCAGAATGTGCACCCCAAACACTGATTGGAATCTTCCTGGCCCCCTCCCACCTAGGTTTTGTACCCCAGGCACAGTTCATCTTTGCCAAGAACTGCAGCCAGGTCTGGGCTGAGGCTCTAAATGATTTCACACGGTGGTCTGGGGGACAAGGGAGTCCAGAGCTGCCAAGGGAGGCCAACGGTACAAAAGATGTGGAGAAAGACCAAGAGCCAAAGCTGGAGCCAGAGCAAGAGGCAGAGAAGGAGCCAGAGCTGGGGCAAGAGACAGAACAAGTGAGACCAAGAAGGCTGGAGGGAGTGCAGGGGCGGGGGTGAAGTGGGGAGCCAACCTCTGTGTGGCCAGGCCTAGGGTGGCCATGAGTAGCATGGCTGGGGGTACAGGGGATGTGGACTTGACTGCCAGCTCTACCATCCAGGGAGCTTCTGTTAGAGCAGGGGCTGAATCTGATAGCCTTATTTTTTCTCTGCCGACTTCTCCTCACAAGGCTTCCCCCTATTCCATGGATGACAAAGATCCTCGCAAGTTCTTCATGCCAGGTGAGAAATAGGTGATGATCAAAGGCAGGGGGAGGCCCCCAGGAGGTCCTGACTCAGTGTTCCCATCCCCCCAGGCTTCACTGGTTATGTGCCCCGTGCCCGCTTCCTCTTCGGCTCCAGCTTTCCTGTGCTCACCAACCGGGCATTGCAGGAATTTGGACAGATGTACTCAGGGGACAGACCCCAGAAGGATCCCAGACATCTCCCTCCACTTTCTAGGACCTACCCTCAGGACCTGGGCCTTTTACCTAATTATGGGGGCTATGTGCCAGGTATGGATAGCCCCAGAGGGGACTGGAATATTTTTGTGTGTGGAATGGGTGGAAGTGGTTTTAGGGGCTGGAACTAATAGGTATGGGGGGGGCGGCTTGGATCATGTAGTTCAGCTTTCTCACTGGGTAGAGAAAGAGCTCACACTGCGAAGTTGGGACCAGATTTTGGAGGGCTTAGGCACTAGCTGAGAAAAAAAAAATGGCTCTCCACACCACTGGCTACAAGTGACAGACTCTTGTCCATACAGGATATAAGTTCCAGTTCGGGCGCACATATGGACATCTCACCCATGATGCACTAGGTCTCACCACCCTCCAGAAGCAGCTCCTGGTATAGGCACCTGGACTCCAAAGTCTCTCTTCTCTTTCTTCCTATCCCAGACATCCTTTTGGAAGGAAGAGAGCTGGGCCCGAGGGTGGAGGGGGAGGCACAAAGAGAAATGGTTTGGAGGCCGAGCACCTTTTTTATTAATAGGTGTAATAAATAAATAAATAAATACATAAACAGAAGCCTGGGCTCCTCCTCCCTCTTCTGACCACCAGGCACTGGCCACAGCCTATTTACATTTGGGGGGTTAGGGAGCTGGCCCCAATACTGTCACCTTTCCTCCTCATCACCTGGCCTAGGGAACCCTGCAAATGGGTCTCTGGTCACCTCCCTCCATAGGGAAGTGCTTATCCATATCTATGGAGGGGCTGGCCCAGATGGGCCAGGGAAATCCTGGCAGCCCAGTGCTGCATCCCTTCCCTCCTTTCCTGGGTGGAGGTCTGGATGAGGTCACTGGGACAGTTAATGGGGAGTAATTAACACTGAGCACAGGGATGTATGGCCCCCAGCTCTCAGTCTACTCTCTGTGGCCAAGCCAGAGGGCTTGGGAAGGGCTCTCAGGCTCCAAGTCAGGGGTTATGAGGGTCCCTGAGGCCACCAGCATGCACAGGGCCTCAGTTTTGGCTGCTTCCAGGGGTTGGACTTGGAGTTGGGGTCAAGGTCACATAGGCCAGAGGCACCAGGCCGGTGTCAGGGCCACGGCTGCAGCGCAGCCAGTCTCCTCCAGCTGGCCCCAGCACTCGTAGGATATCTCCCTTGTGGAAGCTCAGCTGTCCAGGGCCTGTGGCCAGATGATGGCACAGTGCCTTCACCTCGCTGGGGAAACAACAAATGGAGGTCAGAGAAACCCCACCCAAAGCCAAACCCAGCCTCCCAGTCCTGTCTTCCTGGGCTTACCACGGAGGCTTGGACGGCAAGACTGGAGAGTGTGGGTCTTGCAGGCTCTCCTTGGGCTCTGGCTCTCGGCGGGCACCCACTGTCTGTGCCACTAGTTGGAACATGGACTTGTCCAGGCTCAGCCAGTCGGAGGGGAGCCTAGGGGAGAGCGGCCAGGGCTCTATATATCCGTGCCCTGGCTTAATCAGATAGGCTCCCCAAATCCCTCCATCCACACCACGGGCTGCCTCTCACCTGTTTGTGGGCCGGGTCTCCCGCTGAGCCTTTCGGGAGCCAAAGAGGTGTCCCCACTTGATGCCCCCAGGGGAAGGCTCTGAGGCTCCTTCCTCATTTTCTGCTGGGGGGGCAGTGGACCCCTCCCTCTCCCGGCTGCGCCTCAGCTCAGCCAGCACAGAATCAGGGGGGCTCCCCATCCAGAAGGGCCAGCCCCTGTCCCGGCTGAGGGTCTCCTCCGGGGCAGGGCAGGCCTCTGCCCCCTCAACGACTCCCTCTCGCGGGGGTGGTCCCCCGCCTCCGGCCCCTTTCTTTTTCTCAATGCTGCTACTGGTGCCCCCACGGGGGAACCTAGAGCCCTCAGTGGAGCCGTCGATGTAGACCTGGGAGCTCTGCATGAGCTGGTACCACCAGCCGGCCTGCCCGCCTCGGGCCCACCTGCCGCGCCCTGAGCCCCCTGCAGCCTCTGCCACCTCTTCTGTCTCGTCTTCCTCCTCGTCCTCTCCACCTTCAGGGGCGCCCACCCCCTTCACCCGCTCCCCGTGGACCGCCCTGTCCACGTCTCCGGGCCCCTCCTGGCCCCTGGCCCGGGCCAGCTGCAGTGTCGAGTGCGCAGACAGCAGCAGGTCCTGGGACACCCGCAGCAGCTCCTTGTGCTGCCGCTGCTGCTGCCCACTTTGCAGGAGCCGGTGCTGGAACAGCAAGTCGAGGCTGAAGGGCAGCAGGGCCAGGGGCTGTAGCAGCAGCAGCAGCTCCTCGAAGAGGCTGGGGCACACGGTGTGCGCTGCACTCAGGAAGCCCCACGGTTGGTAGTGGGTCTGGATGATATCTAGGGGAGCAGGAGAGAGGGCCTGAGCCCCACAGAGAAGCAGACCCTGGCCTGGAACGGGCCCCCCAGAGGCCGCCCCGGCAGAGCTACTGGACACTCAGGTGTGCTCCACTGCAACGGAGGCTGCCTCGTGACCTCTGCAACCCTAAGTGGTGGCCCTAAGTTCAGGGGAGAGGTGTGGGGGGTGGTTCCGGGCCACCCTGGCTTCCAGATTGCTTGAGTATCCTGCTGACTCCAAAGCTCTAACATAAGTAGAAGCTGGGGGAAGACTGGGGTGGAAGCCCACACTCTGAAGACAAAAGCTTCGGTGGTTGCCCTCCCCACCTCTACCATCTCTACAGAGCTGTGCCTCCCTCTTCTAAGCCCCTGAAGTCTGGCCTATATTGAATTTGCAAGAGAGAGCAGTGTTCCGGGCCTTACCTTCGTGGTTATAGAGGTGATTAAACCAGAACTCCAGGGACCGGATGCTGTAGGAAACAGGTAGAGAGAGCTGAATCTTGTGTGGAAACAGCCAGATGATAAGGTACAAAGGAGAAAGGGGCTCAGACATAGGACTGAGACAGAGGTGAACATTTTCTTTCAATGGCAGGGATGCTACCTGGTTCATTTTTTTTTTTTTTTAGTTATTATTTTTTTTAAGAAAATGAGTGAGAAAAATCAGAGAGGGTGGCTAAACATGAGAGACTTCTAACTCTGGGAAACGAAGAAGGGGTAGTGGAAAGGGAGGTGGGCGGGGGAATGGGGTGACTGGGTAACAGGCAATGAGTGGGGCACTTGGTGGGATGAGCACTGGGTGTTACACTATATGTTGGCAAATCGAACTCCAATAAAAAAATACAAAAAAACAAAACAAAAAAAAGATTTTATTTATTCATGAGAGAGAGAGAGAGAGGTAGAGACAGAGGCAGAGGGAGAAGCAGGCTCCCTGCAGGGAGCCTGACATGGGACTCGATCCCAGGACCCCAGGATCATGCCCTGAGCCAAAGGCAGATGCTCAACCACTGAGCCACCCGGATGTTCTTGAAAAAAAAAAATTTATCTACTTATCTGACACAAAACACTGTCTTCATTAAAAATGTTTGTATTTTGGGATCCCTGGGTGGCGCAGCGGTTTAGCGCCTGCCTTTGGCCCAGGGCGCGATCCTGGAGACCCGCGATCAAGTCCCATGTCCCACGTTGGGCTCCCTATATGGAGCCTGCTTCTCCCTCTGCCTCTCTCTCTCTCTCTGTGTGTGTGACTATCATGAATAAATAAATAAAATAAAAAAATGTTTGTAATTTTAAAAGATTTGATGTATTTATTTGAGAGAGGAAGAGAGAGAGAGAGCACAAGCAGGTGGAGACACAGAGGGAGAAGCAGGCTTCCCGCTGAACAGAGAGCCTGAGGGCGGGGGACCCTGAGATCATGACCTGAGCCAAAGGCAGATGCTTAACTGACTGAGCCACCCAGGTGCCCCTACTGGTTCATTTCATGTAAAATAGTTCTGGAAAGTCAGTGGGGGGTGGCCCAGGTGGCTCAGTTTAGCGCTGCCTTCAGCCCAGGGCCGGACCCTGGAGACCCAGGATTGAGCCCCACGTCGGCCTTCCTGCATGGAGTCTACTTCCCCGCCCTCCCCACCCTGGTGTGTCTCTCATGAATAGATAAATAATCTCTTTTTTTTTTTTTTAAAGAAAGTCAGTTGGGATGTTGTGGGGAGGAGTAGTGAACATGTGTTTCACAAGCCAATGACTTCCCTCTAGAATGGAGCTGGTTTGCATAGGACCCAAGAAGTCAGGGCAGCTACTGAGTGAGAGTGTAGGGTACACATCCCGAAGGGAACGACCCAGGCCCAGACTTGAGAACGAAGGATACTATGATATGGATTTCAAGGTAGACTTATGGTGGGCAAGATTTGGAAGTCATGCTGGAATTGACTGGTTCAAGGTTTACAATATCCAGAGAACCAGATTAATTTCCAAATAAACCAGAATACAGATTTATAAAAGCATAAGACCATGTTGTTGATCAGTGCCAGAGGGTTGTGGGTGTAGTGGGAAACCAGGGACCTGATGAGAGAGGCTGTAGCTGGATGAGGAGAAAGTGAGCCTGGGCCCTGGCCGCAGATCCTTCAGGTCTGCTTTGCCACTCTTGCTGCCCCACACACTCACTTGAGTAGGCCGAGAATGAAGGCGTTGAAACGCATGGTGTGACTGGTGAGCTCTGGGAATTGGCTGACCTTGTTGTAGAGGCCATGCAGGACCTTGGTGGACGGGCCTGAGGAAGCCAGAGTACACAGTCACATGCCCCGTCTCCTGGATCCAAATCTCAGCCTAGGGTCCTCCTCTTGCCCCCCAGCATTTACCTAGCTGTGTGGAAGCCTCAACCACACTCCACGGCATGTTCTTACGTTGCCCAATGATGACATCTAGCACAAAGGCCTTGAGCCCATCCTCCAGCACAGCCTGGACTGCAGGGCACAGGTACTTCAGAACCAGGTGGCCCACATTGGGGCTCACAGAACTGTTCCCCAGCTTTGCCTGTGGATGCAGTAGAGAAGAACAGGGAATCATCTGAGGCCTGGCCTTGGACCTGACTTTCTTAGACCTCAGCATGCTTCTCTTGTGATTCCCTTCCCGATGTACCCAATTCTGGGTTCTAGGTGCAAGAGAGCAGAAGGTGGTAGCACAGAATGGGTGAGGATCAGCAAGGTAGACCTCAGCTCTCCACAGGTTCTTGCCTACCTTCACTCCAGGATCCCGGCTTGTGCCAAAATGGGCCACGATGAGGTCCACAGCAGTGTTAACCGCCTTCACTAGCCCTGCAAGTAAGTATTCCATGATTCGTTCCTAAGTGAGTCCCTGGGCAACTCAACTGAAACTGAGCCGTTGGTGGAAGTGGAGGGGGTGGAACGTTCACTATCTCTCTCTGTCCCTGTACATGGGTCCCCATCTTACCGAGGACTAGACCTTGGCCCCTTCCTGGTTTTGCCCAGTTCTCAAGCCTTGTAATGTTTTCCCCACCAGTGGACCCATCTCAGTGACTGCTTCTTCAAGACCCTCTCACTCCAGTTCTGGATCAAGCTAACTACCCATCTTCTCTGCTCTGAGAAACCAGGCTAGTGGCTGCCAGAGAAAGTCCAGGGCCACTCAGAACAGTGATGGACAAGTACATTTCTCGGATATGTGACTTGCGGTACCCTCTGCTATACTCTCACATTGCCAAATCTTCATCCCTCGTCTCAAGCCCTGGGTTCTATTTCCCCC